GTCAAGGCCGTCCTCCTTCGCTGCGCCGGCTTTGACATGATCAACCTCGACGTCGCCGCTGAGCTCGGCATGACGGTTCTCCGCGTGCCTGCGTATTCGCCGTACGCTGTCGCTGAGCACGCGGCCGGCCTCATGATGACGCTCAACCGCAAGTACCACCGCGCCTACAACCGGACCCGCGAATTCAACTTTAAGCTCCAAGGTCTCCTCGGCTTTGATCTCCACGGCAAGACGGTCGGCGTCGTCGGTACCGGCAAGATTGGCGCGCTCTTTGGCAAGATCGCCACGGGCTTTGGCTGCAAGGTCATCGCCTACGACGTCTACGAGAACGCCGAGGCCTTGAGTTACGGCATCGAGTACGTCTCGCTCGATGAGCTCTTTGAGCGCTCCGACATCATCTCGCTCCACTGCCCGCTCTTCCCGTCCACGCACCACGTGATCAACGAAGAGAGCATCGCCAAGATGAAGACGGGCGTCATGCTCATCAACACGAGCCGCGGCGGCTTGATCGACACCAAGGCGCTCATCCGCGGCCTCAAGAACGACAAGATCGGCAGCGTCGCGTTGGACGTCTTTGAGGGCGAGAATGGTATCTTTTACGAAGACCACTCGGGCGAGATCATGGCGGACGAGAACTTCACCAAGCTCTTTACGTTCCACAACGTGCTCGTGACGGGCCACCAGGCCTTCTTCACGAAGGAGGCATTGAGCAACATCGCCAAGACGACGATGGACAACATCAAGGCGCTCGAGACCGACGGGCCGTTCGTCAACGAGGTCAAGAAGCAGTAAAGTTTTGCACATAATACATTTTGTCATCTTCTTATTCTAAATCGATCGATGTCTGTGTTGAAACGCTCATGAAACGGCGGACTTGAATCCGTCATGCCGCGTGTCCCGTCCCCATCGTATCTGGACGATATCCGTCGGACTGTTCTGGAGGCCCGAGAAGCCAATTCGGTTGCCGCCATCGACCAGTGCTCGACAAGCGGTAGCAGTCAACAATGGAGGGACTTTTTCACGCTTTATTTCGTCTGGCATGTGAGCTGAGAAGCTGGGAATAGGCCACCTTGACCACATAGAGGCCGCGGCGTCGCAAATAGTGTGATCCGTGGGCGGCATGCTTGGTCCTGCACCTTTTACGTGCGCGCGACGCCGTCGCCCAAGCCAATCTCCCGTGATCCAGCGCTGGAAAACACTAGATTCCCGCATCGTCGGACCTTCTACCGCAATGTACAGGGTGACCGTCGGAACGACCGAGCCAATTGTATTGGTTTGGAGTATGATATGCTACTTGATCGCCCGCGTCCCGTGTCGACACCTGACACTATTCTCGACACCGAGTATCTTCCATGGCGACGGGTCAGAAACACGAGACAACTCGGTCGTGAGATCCCACGTCTTCAAAAACGTCGCGGCGCGCGCTGGCGCGTCGAGGGATGTGCCATTCTTGCTTCTGCCACCAGCCCCCCACTTGCCTCATGTTGAAGAGCCTCGCTGCTGCCAAGCCCGTCATGGCGCGTGCGCTCCGCACCGCATCGCTTTCGACAAAGGCCCCGGCTGCGATGCGCATCGCCTTCTTCTCGGACGCCAACTACGACACCAAGACGATGCAAGCCATGGCTGCCAAGGAGGACATCCAGCACGAACTCCAGTACGGCACTATATGTATAGGGCGAGCTCATGGGCAACATGGATAGCTTTTTTCCGCACCGACTAAGCTTGGGCACGGCGCCGATGGCCAAGGACTTTGACATTGCCGTCGACTTTGTGAGCGGCACTGTGGACGCCCCCGTGCTGAAAAAGGTGTGTGATAGCGGTGACTACATGTATCCTGAGGATCGTTGCTGTCAATAGCTCAAGGAAGTCGGCGTACGGTCCGTTATGCTTCGCTCCGTGGGATTCGACACGGTCGATCTTGACAGCGTCGCCTAAACAGAGCAACCAAACGATTTTAATAAGTACTAGTGCACGTATTACATGTCAACAATGGGTTTCCTGCGCCGCATCCCTGGTTGTCGCCGTCGAGGGCCATTTTCAGGAAGAGACTAAAGAGTTTGACGCGGCGGGTCGACCAGCACAAACACGTTCGAGTACCGCAGATGAGCCATGCCGCAAAGCAAGCCAGGACGCAGAAAGGGTACAGATTGGATGTCCTTATCTGGTTGTCGTCTACGTGGAATAGCACAGAGGGACTTCTTTAGTCATACCCGATATGAATGTAGTCTTCGAATGATCCGTCTTGCCGTGAGGTCCTAGTGTTGACGAAAACCACTACGGCATAGCACGACCCTTGGGCGCTTAGCAACAGCCCGTGCGCACGGTCAGCATAGAAGACACAGAGAGCGAGAACTGGAATCATGCCCCGAGAGCTTGCCCCGAGAGTTCTTCTTCTCTGTCTTCCCAATCAGAGCATACCTGGAGAGGAACAGCTCGTTACCACAAGAGGCAAGATGACCATCGCTACGGCGTACGCACCCACCTTCGCGGCGAGCCGCTACCGCCTCGACCGTGAAAAGTGTAGGACTATGGCGCCAGTTGGCATCAGCGGCGCTGCGTGCTTGTTGCTGCTACGTTGAAGCGCGAAGCGGCGTCTCGTCGTCCATACAACGATCAAGTCGACGCATCCAGTCCAAAAACACGCTCGTTTCTATTTTGCTTTTGAGTTTGCTCTAGAGTTTGCTTTTGAGTTTGCACTTCACTTTGCACTTGCAGGGGCGCCTACGACGGAGCCGCCTCACATGCTCACCTTCGAGCCGGACGCAAAACGTGGCGAGCCGAGCGCGCAGGGTTGTAAATAGTGTACGTTGTGCACATCTCAACAAGAGACTTCATGATACACTATTTAACGGGCGTGAGTACCTATTGTCGCGCGCAGACACGCAGCGTCGACGCCGAGTCCCACGCGAGCAAAGAAAGCGCCGTCGAAAGCGATCCAAAGACGCTTTTCGATTCATTTTTCAACACGGCGAAATGCTACGAGGTCTTGTCAAGCCGCTGCTGCGGACGCCGACGGTGCGTCGGCTCTCCACGACAGCCGCGGACCCGATGAAGATTGCGTTCTTTTCCGCCCACAGCTACGACACCGAGTCGATGCAAGCCATGGCCAAGAAGGAAGGCATCCATGGCGACCTCCGGTACATCTGCCGTTGCAATTGTCGAGAAATCTCACGCAGCATTAGCTTCTTTCCGCATCGGCTCAACATTTCGACAGCGCCGTTGGCCAGCGAGTGCGACATTGCCGTAGCTTTTGTCAACGACACAGTCGACGCCCCCGTCTTGCGCAAGGTACACGCAACCCCATCTTATGCCAAACTTTTTTTCACATTCCTTATGTCGTAGTTTAAAGACATTGGCGTCAAGGCCGTCTTGCTGCGCTCGGCGGGGTTCGACATGGTCGACTTGGCCGCTGCCAAGAACCTCGATATGCCCATTTTAAACGTGCCGTCGTACTCGCCGTACGCGGTCGCTGAGCACGCGGCCGGTCTCATGATGACGCTTAACCGCAAGTACCACCGCGCCTACAACCGGACGCGCGACTTCAACTTCAACCTCCAAGGCCTCCTTGGCTTTGATCTGCACGGCAAGACAGTCGGCGTTATTGGTACCGGCAAGATTGGCGCGCTCTTTGCCAAGATCGCCACGGGCTTTGGCTGCAACGTGCTTGCTTACGACGTCGCCCCAAACCCGGAAGCTCTGAGCTATGGCGTCAAGTACGCGAGTTTGGACGAAGTGCTCGCCGCCTCGGACATTATCTCGCTCCACTGCCCGCTCTTCCCGTCGACGCACCACGTGATCAACGACTCTGCGATCTCCAAAATGAAGAAGGGTGTGATGCTCATCAACACGAGCCGCGGCGGACTGATGGACACGGAGGCGATCATTCGCGGTCTCACGAGTGACATCATTGGCAGCGTCGCGTTGGACGTCATTGAAGGCGAGAACGGTATCTTTTACGAAGACCACTCGGGCGAAATTCTGGCCGACGAGAATTTCGCCAAGCTCTTTACCTTCCCGAACGTGCTCATCACGGGCCACCAGGCGTACTTTACGCGCGAAGCGCTCGACAACATTGCGAAAACGACGATGGACAACATCAAGGCGGTCGCCGCGGGTGGACCGTACGCCAACCAAGTCAATAAGCGGACGTAAATTCATATTCTATAGCTCATGCAATATTGCACATAATATACAACGATGCAAAACTCGCTTGTCTTGGCGCTTGAAACCATCACATTACCGTTCCAAGAAGCATGAAGCGCAACAACGAAGGGACTCGGTCGGCCTCGGTGCTGCCCACCGCCATCTTTCCAGCAGGCACGCCGCTGCAGGCGACGTTGGCCAAGCTCGAGCAACCGGTGCGGTCGAAAGCATCCCTGCCCGAGCATCCGCCGAGCCCAGTGCCCGAATCCACCGAGCTCTTCCACTACACCAACACGCTTTTGCACCGAGTGACGGGTCGGTATCTTCCCGCGGCGGTGGTCGGCGGCAGCACCACCGCCCACGCGGACGAAGTCAAGCACTTGGCGTCCGACCCCGACTTGGTGCTTGTGGTATGCATGTCGTCTCCATGCTCGGCCTCATGGATCTACTAGATGCAAAGTGTGCAGGACCTCACACATCAATTTCACGAGGTTGCCACGTCCGTCTTGTCGCACCGCCGCGAACTCGGAAAGATTTTGCTCAAACTCAAAGGCTCGTACGTCGTTTTGTTTGAGCGCGTCCTCGAAGCCGCGATGCGCTTCTACTACACGTACCGGGCCGAGCACGCCAAAGAGCGACACGACCAGAAGCTGGAGATTTTGAACCAAAGCCGCCTCATCCAAGAGCACGAAGAGTCGATTCGGGTGCTCACGCACCACTTGGAAGCCAAAGAAGTGCTGCTGCAAACGCAGCGCGTCACGATCCAGGACCTCGAATTTCACAACCACTCGCTTCAAGCGCTCGAAGCTACGTGGCTCGAGCTCGTACGTTTATTCGCCAATTCGATACCTCTAATATCGTCCGTGGTTGTAGCAAGACGAGTACCGTGAGCTCAAGCGATTCAAACTATCCTGTGACAAGCGCGAAGAGAGTTTGCAAAAGCGCGAAGATACGATTCAAGTACAGTATATCGTTGCACAGGATGACAATGTGTACATTTTCCATGGCAGGCCAAAGAAGAGACGTTGACGCGCCACGCCCACTTTCTCGACGTGCAGACCAAGACCGAGCACGGACGCATTATCGAAGAAGCGCGGTCTGCCGCCCCTTCCAATGCTTCTTTCGTAAACGGTTGGACGGTGTAGAAAATACAAGGAGGCGTACACCAAAGCCGTCGAAGAGATCCACCACGCGCACGAGCCGTCGCCCGACTCGCCTTACTTCAATCATTTCCGCCCGCGCGCCGACGCATCAACGGAGACGATCACCGACGACGACGGTCTCTGGGACATTCAGGTCGCAATTTGCATACAACTTGGCGCGCAGCATAAATCGAGTAGGACGGTGTCCCAACGACCGTCTCGACGAGTGTGCGAGCGCGCATCATGTGGCGGCGCTTCCACGCTTTTGTTCGATGCAAAAACTGTCATGGCCGACCGCTGCCCACGCGCGCGCCGACCGAGGTGGACGAAGCTGTACGTTTGTCTTTGTGTACAATCTGTCTGCTATACAAGCACCGGTAGTACCAGACCGTGTGGACAGTCAAGCAAAAGCGAAAACGGTGGAGCCGTGCAGCTGCCAAAGAGTGGCGACTGCCCAACTCCATCAAACACTTTCTGGCCAATTTGCCAAAAACCGTGGTCGCGATCGAGCGCTACTCGCTGCAAGAGCTTTTGCAGCACATCGAAGAGCTCTACGATGCCAAGTACGAAGCTGACTGCCTCGACGCGGCCGACGGCGTCGCGTACCAGCCGCTCGACCAGTTCGTCGCCGAGTACTATCTCAAGAGCTGCAAAGGGCGGCAACTCGCCGAGGTGCAGCTCTACAAGCTGCTGATTTCGATCAAAGCGCTCTATTTAACGTCGCCGGCGCTGCATTTGTTTGCTCGCTTTCTTCAGTTGCTCGATCGCGACGAAGCCGAGCAGCGCCAGTACCGCTTCGACCCCGACATTGACGAGAAGGCCCAGGCCTCCAAGATGGAGCTCAACGCACTCGGTGTGCCACCGCAACAGTGTCTCAACCAGAGCTACCTCCGCGTCTTCTTGGATGCACGGTCCGTCGTGACATCATACCGAGGTGACAAGGCCTCAGCTCTTTTGCTGTAGGCACAACGCCTTGCACCACCCCGAGCTCGGCACCGATCATCTCGTGTCGGTCAACGGCATTAGCACCAAGTGGGTTGCACTGGAGTACGGCATTCGCCTACTCAAGTGGTACCTCAGCTACTTGCCAGACGAGAAGCGGCATATCTACTGTCGACAGGTACGCAAATATACAAACACGATGGTCAGCGACGATGGTCTGTCGGCATCCTAGCTCGAGCACTGCACGGGGATCTTACTCCATGGCACCATCACCGACACGACAGGTAACCAGCTCGCTGTCCGCGCACAGATGCGTCTGGCCATGTTGGGCACTGAAACGAGCCGCACTGGCGGAGATGAGCCCGTGCGCCGGCGCGATGTTGTCGTCGTGAGCGTGCACGTTGTCTTGGAGCTCATCGTCGACGTGCTGCTCATGCGCACGAAAGGCATCGAGATGGAGCTGACCGAGCTCTTTGATTCGGTACGACCGTTTGAGAATGCTAGGACTCGTAGAACGTTGGGGTCGGAGCATGTTTAGTTTTCATGCGTCTTCTTGACACTAGGGTGACGTCAACCACGACCACGTACTGTCGTTCGCCGAGTTTTGTGCGATTCTCCAGCCGCGCGCACCCCACTTTAACGAGCGCCGGCTCTTGCGGATGTTTCGAGAGGCGCTCGTGCTCGGCCAAGACCCGTCGTACGCCATCACCGCCGACGCCTTTATTCAAGTGTGTACGGACCACGGCCTCGTCGCGCTAGTGTCCAGTGCCACGTTCGAGGTAGATGTACACTTTGTCGCATCGTCGCTGAGTCACCCTCGTACAAGTTTAGCAAGCGGAGTCTCCGGCACAGCCCGCCAAAGCACCGGTCCAGCTCGTTCAACGCCAAGACGAGCCCGCTCCGGCACGGGACAGTGGCGGCGTCGCCGGCGCCGCGCCGCTCCCCGCCAAAGCCCACACGGCACTCCGCCTCCGTAATCTCCACGAATGGAAACGAAGCAGCCTCCACGAGCTGTGACGACGAGATCGTCGAAGACCTAACGACACACGACGACGTTGACGACGCTCGAGTCCGCCACCATCTCGACTTGTGTGGGACAGACGACCCGATTGAGGAAGAGATCGAGACGGTAGCATAGTCATTCGCTCGTACTTTTTTGTTATAATCACCGACGATTCAAGCTGTAGACGGATATATACGTATTTGAGTAGCATGTTGGACTGCCGCAACGTCTACTTGGGCTCGGAGGGGGCGTCGACGACATGAGCGCCTGCAGGCAGTGCGTGGCGCGGCTGTTCGAGTGCTTCTAACGTCGGGGTTTCAACGGTGACGACCTACAATGTACATCATGTCATGTACCCGAACGACAAGACGATAATGACTAAAGACCTTCCACACACACACGGCCGTGATGGCTTTGAGCACAATGTTGGCAAAGAACATGACGGCAGCGAACCGGTTGGTGCCGCACCCGGGGAAGCTCCCCAGACCGTCGCAGTGGAGAATGCCAATGCTATTGGGCTGGCAAATCAGATTCTGGAAGGCTTGGCCCGAAATCCAGAGCACGCTCCAGACAATGTCGGTCGCACACGAGAGGCAAAGCACCGAGACGTACAAGACGGTCCCGCGCGAATTATGCTTGTGGTGCGAGAAAGGGTGGACAGTCGCCCAGATCGCAAGTGCAAAGTTGTAGGCTGGAAACGCCACATACGACAGCTGCATCAAGAGCGAGAGTGCGAGGGACGCCGTGCCAATGCGGTGCTGCCACTCGTCCCAAAACCCTTTGGGGGGCCCCCCCGGGGGGGCTTGAGTTTCCTTTGTCGGGCTGCGCTTGGGGCTGTGTGTCGGGCTGCGCTTGGGGCTGTGTGTCGGGCTACGATTCGGGCTGTGCGACGACCGCACCGGGCTTGGCTGCGGACTGGGCGGCGCCGGGGCAACGTGGTCGGCCATCGCGGTAACCGTCACGAGTTGTGCAACCGCCGGGTGTCGAGACATCCGAACAAAGTTCGTATCCGGTATATTTCGTTCTTGGTGTATAACTTATAATCCGATTGACTCAATTGAATCCTAGATCCTTAGAGATGTGCAATATTGTCTACAAGGTGTATTGCTTGTACTAGCGCGGTGGAAGCCTGCAAGCGTGATGCTAATCCGGCATCCTGAAACGTATCCAATCAAAACGCTGCATGTGGGATATATTGCTGCATTTTGACCAATCCAACGAATTTAGACGGACAGCCAATCCCAGGCGACGAGCCATGGTGGCAGGATCCGCCGTCGTGCAGGCCATCGGGGCTTGTGGCTCATGGAAGGACGCTACACGCCTTCTGCAAGAGCTCGAAGACGCCTACACTCGGACAAGGTCGGCGGCAGATGCGAGTCGCTGGGTCGAGGCGACAACCGAGGCCGTCCGCTGGGCGCTGGCGACCGCGGGCTTGCCGTCCCAGCAGGCCCAAGCCCATCTCCACGCCTGCCTCGTCCTGCTCGCCAAGGGCATATTTGCATCAAGGCTTTCCACTGAGGCCGCGCCGTTTGTCTATGCCACTTTGCTCGTCCAGCTCCTGCCAACGTACCCTGTGCTGGATGGCGCCGGCGTCGTTCTGGCGTTCTGTTATCTCCAACATGGCCAGTTCGACGAGGCCAAGGTCCTTTTGGACGGCCTTCAACACGCCTCGTCACACGCCTACGCAGACGAGTACGTAGCAATATGCTTGCGCGCTGTTAATGGCCCATGGCACTTGTAGGACGTGCATGCTGCACGCCGCGCTCGCTCTCCTGCGCGACGGCCACGACCCGCAGCCAGCGCTCGCCTCTCTCCTCACGCGCATCGGTACGTTATCCACATCCTGTATTGTCGACTCTGTGGTTTGAGCAAACGGCAGAGGCCGCCCCGACGCCGGCGCTCTCGTTCTGGTACGCGTTGCTGCATGTCCATGCCCGGACGCCGACGACAGCCCTGCGACATTTGCTCCCGCACCTCGAAGCTGCGATTGCAGGCGACTACCAACCTATAGCGAGCTGCAACTTGTATGCGTTCATCTTGGCGCAAGGCGGTGGCACCTTCAAGGCCGGGGATTACCGCGAAGCGGGCGAGCTCCTCGCGCGGGCCATGCAGATGGACTTTGACCAGCCAGATGCAGCGTTCAACTACGCCTTGCTCTTGGGCAAAATGAACAAGTGGCACGAGATGCAGCACATGCTGGAGTTCGTGCTCGAGGCACTGGTGCCGCCGCCGTTGACCGCACTCACCATCACGCCTCGCTTGACCACGCCGACCCGCGTCCGGCGCCACTTGCTCGCAACGAGTCTGGAGAGCCGTACGTTCAGTAGTGTCCATTCATCATACGTAAGGACGTGGTGTAGACGAGTATGAAACTGCAAAGCGGGTTATTGAAGCCCTGACGCACGCCCGTGACCTGCTCGAGGTCGCCAGCCCGTTTCAGGTACCTCGCTACTACGCGTCGTTCGCGTATCGACACGAGCACGTCTAGTTGTCCCAGCTCATTCGCGACCGCATCTTTGTACTCCTCGAGGTATCCTCCGATATGGCTTGAACGCGTCGTGGAGACTCAGGCTGCGTAGCTCGACTTGCACAAAGAGGCGCTGCAAATCGCCGACGCCGCGCTTCAACGCCACTTTGTCGAGTCGGATCCGGTGGTTGTGCTCTATAAGGCCGACGCGCTGCTCTGCCTCGGCCGCCTCGACGAGTGCAAGTGGACCGTAGACCGCCTCGACGGCCTCGGCGTCGTCGAGAGCGCGCCAGCGCTGCACGCCCAAGTCCTCAACAACCATGCACTCACATTCGCCTGCCAAGACGATGTCGATACCGCGATCGTAAAGCTCCGCGAATGCCGACGCTTGTATCCGACCTCTCGCCACGCTGCGTTCAACTTGACGCTTCTCTTGTGGCGCAAAGGAGACAAGGCCGCTGCGTGCGTCGTCTGGCTCGAGCACACGGCGTCCACCCAAGCAAGCACCCCCAATGCGAGTGAGAAGAGCGTCGCGGCCAAGCCGACGAATCACGTCAAGTCGCGTAGTCAGGGTCACGTCGATGCCACCCAAGTGGCCGCGCTCGACCGCCTCATTCGCTCGTTCTCAACAGCCGAGGCCAACGTGCGCGTCGTCCAGCGGGCGCTTGAGCTCGGCCGGCACTTTGCCGACGTGTTGGCCGCGCCCAAGCAGGGCCGCTGAGTGTCACGTAAGGCGTAATCAAGCGTCCATCGCGCGACTCGTCTGAGAGCGTTTAAGTTTGCGAGCCAATTTGCTGGCGCAAAACGTTGATACTCTACCTACACCGAGCTCGGGAGGTGCCAAAGCAACGCAGGCTTGAAACAAAGTCGGAAATTTCAACGTGCAAAAGAGGCTCATAGCTCGTACAAGCGACCTTAGCCAGTCCGAGAGTTCCTCGTTTACGAAATGTGGCGGTAGACGCCTCATACAGTGGTTGAGTACTGGATATTTGTATCTCCACGGCTCTAGAACGACTAGGTCGAGACACGGCGATGTGTTTGTATCAATCTATCAGCAAGATAGTCCTACCGAGAATCCGTTCGGATGGGACTGTACAGGAGCCTGTGGCCTCCAGCAGTCTGTTAGCCCGAGTTCCCTATTTGCCTCTTAGTACACGCGCCGGAGTTTGGGAGTACTGCCTCCCTTTGTCTTTGGAGCAAGGCGGATACGGTCACACGAAGCTAGATAGGTTCGTACAGAGCATGGGCGCGTTGGGATATCGAGCGTAACGTAATTCACGCATTGAAGATTAGCTTATTCGCTACTCCCCCTTGTGATTCTATACCTTTCTTGTGCATTGACGCCATATCTCTTGGCTAACATGTGCTCGGTGTACGACGACGTATATGCCCAAGCAACTTATGGAGAGCTTGCTAAACGTAGGTCGGCGGCGGCTCGGAGACCGTCTCGTGGACGAGAACGTGCATACCCGTGCGCGTATCGACGTAGACGCTGCCGCGCGAGAGTTTTGTGTGCATCGTCTTGATGGGCCGTGGCACCACGAGGGCGGCGTGGACTTTAGTAAAGTACGTTGCGATGGCAAACCCACAGAGCGCCGTCATCGCTGCGTAGACCGTGTAGGCAAAGCACGCGTTCGGGAGGTGGCCGACTTCGGTGCGCCACGCGCAAAGCATCAAGACGCCCCACATGACAGTGCAGTAGCCGCACGCGACCGCGCCCCGCAAGAGGCGTTTCGTGCAGACGCAGACGCAGCAGAGGTTGTCGAGCAAGAGCAAAAACGTGCACGCTGACGCCGACGTGAGCGTGAGGCCGGCGGTGCCGACGACGACTCGGCCGATGCTGCCGCAGGTCGCGTTGAGGTAGGCGCGAATATCACGGGCGGGCGCGTCCGTCGGGCGCAGCGACTGGTGCCAATTGAGCGTTGCCCAGTTTCGGGTTTGGCGGCAGAGCGACGTTGGCAGCGTCTGCGTCGCCATCGGCGTGCACTTGCGCGTGGCCAAGTCCCGCCCCGACGTGCAGTTGACTTGCACCAGCGTGTGGCCAAAGAGACTTGCACATGTGTACATTGCATTGGGCTCGAACAATGTCGCGTCGGACCGGTTCGAAGTTAGGGCCAAGCACGCACCCCAGATGCCGACGTGCAGCGTCGCGTTCGCCGCCGCGGACGGCAGCGACCGGTCGACGGGCGACGGCAACATGACGATCGACGTCGTCGACGACCATTGCGGTAAAAAGAGCGCGAAAAAAAGCGTTGCGAGAGAGACAACGGCTGTCGTCGTGCCTACATGTACACTGATTGAGTCGGGTGTCGATTTATCATCGAGAAGGAGGGAGGCAACGACAGTACCGATGGCCCCCGGCACCGTACACACCATGCGGCGCCAGCAAAAGACGTGTTGTTCGAGAATCGATTCGCCAATCCGCGACCACGACCAAGATCCACTGTCGCTCATATCTTCGAACGTTTGCACGGTCAACGTCAAGTTGTCTTCAAGTACGAGCACGTCCAAGGGCGGCGTACGTCTGCGTGAATGCGAGCTCTGTCCAGCCCGATCAACAGCCAATACCCCGGTGGCTTACCGGCTCGCAAACTTAAGAGCACACGAGCCGCGCGATGGACGCTTTCGACTTGTAAATACTATGCGCCAATGTTGTGAAGTTTCCGGGATTGTGTCAAGCTCGACCCTTCATCTGAGGCGTTCGATCAGGTCTTTCTGCAGCGCACCACCCTGCTGCCTCACGATTGAACTCGTCGGCCGAGTACGCCTGGTGGTGCCGTTGGTGATGCACAGAATTGTCACGTGTTTATGTTGCAGTGGCCTGGAATTGCTCAAAATAGACACCCGTGCCCCTTCGTTGGCCAATCAAACGGCGGCGTATCTTTCACAACGTTATATTTGGCGCGTTGACATGCTTCACGAACGTCACTTTCTAAAGCGATGAGTACGACACCGATGCCGGTCGCGGCGACGCCAGAGACGCAGATGGTTGCCTTTGTTGCGCCCGAAATTGACGCCGCGGGCCTCTACCGCGTCAAGGTGACACCTCCGCGCACGTCCATCTGGGACGGCATGGTGCAGCTCTCGACTCCCATGAACGATGATGAAAAGTCCGAGACGAACCGGTTGCGCCACGCGCGCCGACGCCTGTGGATGCTACTTTGCGCAGCGGCAGTGATTGTAGCCGCGATCATCGGTCTCTCGGTCGGACTCTCGTCGGGTTCGTACCACGACGCGTCGACGTCCGACGGCGCCCGCGCCAACCTCAATGGTGCGACAGAGGCCCCTACGTATGTGACGCCGACGCCCACCACGTCGCTGCCAACGGTTGTCGAAACGAACGCGACGGCGGGCAACACGACGGCAGGTACGCCGGCGCGCGGAGCGTACGACGATACCATTGCAACGTCAGCGCCGTGCGGGTCCGGTTCGTCGTCGTCCGCGACGAGTCCTTCTAGCCAACTACCGACTGGCCCGACGCCGGCCCCGACACCAACTACAACCACCAAGGCACCGGCACCGACTACGACCACCAAAGCGGCGACACCGACACCGACGCCAACACCGAGGCACCGACTACGACCACCAAAGCGGCGACACCGACACCGACGCCGGCGCCGACATTGGCTCCGACACCGGCACCAGCACCGACGCCGGCACCGACGCTGACGTTCCTCAACAAGTGTCCCTACACGATCAATCTCTTCCAGGTCGATACGCCCATTTGCACGCTGGGCTCGGGTCGTCAATGCACGTATCCGCTGAACGCCGGCGACCACACCATGTTCCGGCACACAGGGTCGGCGTCAGCAACGCTTGTCGAAATGACGCGGCTCGGGGGCATGATTTGGTACGACATTAGCATCATTCCGCCGGGGTGTGGCAACGGCGTGAGCTGGGCAGAGTGCATGCGCCTCTCGGGCGGTATCTCGGGCTACAACGTCCCCGTCTCGATGCTACCGACCAAGTACAACAAGGACCCGACGGCCGGCAACTGCTTCTATGTCGAGTGCCTCGCCGACCAGTGCCCCGATGCCTACCTGTACCCGACCGACGACCTCAAGATGAAGGACTGTCGCGAAGACGAGGCGTTCCTCATCACCTACTGCCCATGAGCCGCTGCATATTGATAGATAGTACGTCGTTAATTAACGTGATATATTGTCATTCTTGCACCTTTATTCCAAAATTGTCTGTGTCGGTGATGCCAGTGTATATATTTCGTAAACCCCACTTCCGCATCTCAATTCTATTTCTCCCTCGACGTTCGTACTAGGGATAGGTTTAGACGGCTGGAAGCTTAGTCAATGCACCCCCAGTAGTCCAGTAGTCGGTTCTGCGTTCGTCTCCACGGCTGCCCTCCATCGTCCGACAATATTCTAAACCTAGCCCTAGTGGAACAAAGTTGAAGGAAAAAGGGAAGAGGGAATCGTAGGAGGACCCGGAGGCTTGAGAGGCTGCGTAAACCAAACTCGGGACTCTAGCCATTGATCATCCGAGAAATCCACTAGCCGTGACCGAAGCTTGTCAGTGCAAAACTTTAGTTGGTTGAGGTTGCCAATAGGCTCAACCCTAACCTCCAAACCACGTAGCTTTGACATCCGAACAGGTACATATGGTATGTCCTCCAAAAAAGGACACTGTGTATATACACGGAATACGAGCTAGCGCTGGGCGCGCGTCTGGTACGTCGCAGTGCGCATCTCATGGAGGCGCGAGACTGCGCGGTTGCATGCATACAGGAGGTCGGTCATCGAGCTCATGTTCTTGACGGGGTTTTCGTTCGACGGGTCGTTCTCGAATGCGCCCGACGGGCCGTCCCAAGAGCTAAAGGCAGGAACGCCGGCGGCCTTGTTGGCCTTGCGCAGCGCATCAACCTCTTCCGGCGAGAGGCGCTGCGGCTTGGGCGCCCCGCTAAACGCAAAGAGGTCGTCGGGCTTGACGTGGGCCGAGCAGAGAAGGCGCACACGGTGCTCGTACAGCTCGTCGAGCAGCGTAATAAAGCGTCGGGCCTAGCCCGTCGATATGAGTCTCTGTGATACCACAAAAATTTGAAACATTTGAGAAAATCGACAAATATCGACAAAAATCGACAAAAACCGACAAAAAGTCAACAAACAGCAACGTACCTGGTTGTGCATTTGAATCGTCAGCTGCGGTACGTTGAGCAAGACCACGGTGCCGTACGCCTCTGCGAGCGCCTTGTAGTCGGCCGCGCCCTTGTCCGTGTTGCAGAGCTCTTGAAAGCTCGCGACGCACACCACGTCACGGTACCCCAGCACCGTGAGCGACCGGCCCATCATGACGGGCGTCGTCTGCAGCGACAACAGCGCGCCTTTCGGGAGCAAGGCCTCGGCGGCTGCCTTCAAGGACGCATCTGCCGACTCGCTCCACGGGCACAGATATGTTTCGCCGACCGGCTACACTGTGAGGTTTGCATCCGCAAGGCCCACCGTACTTGCACCTTTTCAATGCGTCGATGGTCGGTACTCGAGTCGATCGACAGTACGCGCGTGTGCTGCTGGAGCAAGTCGAGAAACGGAAGAAAGTACTCTCGGTTGACGCCATCCGGGTAGAGATCCTAGCCTCTTTGAATACAGGAATTGGAGCCGAGGAGCTACCTTGGGGTGCGTGTTGGACGTGGCGATCATGACCGTGCCTTGGTTGAAGAGCGTGCCAAAGAATTTGCGCATGATCATGGCGTCGGCGATGTCAATGACCTAGGCATGTCACGTGCAAGCGAGGTTACGATCGAGGCTACCTGAAATTCGTCAAAGCACAAAATCGGGCTTTCTTGAGCGACTTCTTTCGCAATGAGCGTGATGATATCGCGCTCGGGCTCGAGCTCAATGTGCGCGGACCGGCCAAAGGTCGCCAAGTGCTCCTGCTTGCGCGCATGGATACGTCGGTGCACTTCGAGCAAGAACGCGTTAAAGTGCACGCGCCGCTTCTTGGTCGCGAGGCTCTCGTAGAAGAGGTCCATGAGCATCGACTTGCCCGTGCCCACTTTGCCCACGAGGTACAAGCCGCGCGGCACCTGCATCGCGCCATGTTCCTAGCATCGGCCGCATAAGCCTCCGTCGATGCTACGTAGCGTACCGACGACGGCAGCTCGTACGACGTCAGGCGCTTCTGCAGCTTCTGGAGATGGCCCACGACGGCCTCTTGGGCGGCGTCGGGGCGGAGCTGCTTGGCGCCGACCAGCCGCTTGTACAGCGGCAGGAGCGCTCCTTGTCGCGACATGAGCCAAACAAAAAAGTGTAACTACGAACTTCGGGCACGGACCAATGGCATCGACGCTCGCGACGGTGGCCTTGGGCCTGCGAAACGGCCGTGGCGCCTGCCACGTCATGACCGAAGGTCGACGTCGTCCATCTCCCATACAAAAATGCAGAATACAAAGGGAGTCACAAAGGCGGGTGTTTGTAAAGTTATGCGGGCCCGGTCCCGGGTGTGCCTGACCCTTTCTTGGCTCGCTTGCCGCGGTTGATGACGAGCCCGACGAGCTTCTTGCGCATCGCGCGATCAATGAGCGGCTCGTCGCTCGTCTCGATCGCGGGCTGCGGCACATCGTCGTCGTCCTTGGATCGCGTTGGCTCCTTGAGCGCCTCGTTGCTATGGTCCTGGGAATGGCGCAGGATCTTGGCGACCTTGGAGGCCTTGGGCTGCGTCTTTGGCCGGACCTGCGCATAGAGGTCTGTAAGCACCTGTCGTCGCGCGGTTCTACTCGTACGCGAATGTTGCCTTGCGAGTTGTCGGCCGTCGAGACACGCAGAATGAAATGCTCTTCCGTCTCGTTGGGCGACGGCTGCTGGCCCTTGCTGTCGCCCGCGTTGTTGCTGCCATGTCCATTCGAGACGGTTTCGGACCGGTGCAACTCGTGCTCGGCCTTTTCTCGGTTGATGACATCAAGGATGCGGCTGAGCTTTTGCTCAACCTAAAACAGCGTTCGCACCAGCGTCTGTGACAGTGACAAGGTACCAAATGCACGAGGTCGGTCGTCGAGATGTCGCCGGCCTTGTTGAGGTCGACCTCGTTCTCGAGCTCCATGGACCCTCGGACCGAGCTCATTTTTGCCATGCACTTGACCATGCACGATCGAAACGCATCGAGCTACAAAGCACAGCTTATGCCTCAAATGTTCTGCAAGCAACGACGCCGTACGAGAACGTTGGAGCGGTTGCAACGCTCTTGGAGCGCCGACACGTTCTTCTCAATCTCCTTGAGCTTCTCGGCCGTGTCGTCCATCTCTTGGTACGCGCCGCGCGTGTTCATGGTCGCCCCACGCAGCGTCGCGAGTTGGTCCGAGAGCTGCTTGTACAGTTCACGGAGCTTGCGCATCTTGGCGTCGGCAATCGAATGCTCTTCCTTGAGGTTTCGAAAGGTCTCTTCGCGCGAGAGGTACTTGGCAATGATCTTGTCGATATCGTTGGTGCCCGCGGCTTCGCTCAGCCGGCGCAAGTCGGCCTACGCCACCAAATGTGTCAATGTTTCGGCGGCATTGCCAAGGAACCTCGAGCGTAATGAGCTTGGCATCGGTCTGCATGAGTTCGGTCTGGATCTGGGCAAACTGCGCGCTCTGGATCTGGCTTTCTTGGCGCAGCCGCTTGGTTTCGCGCGCGGTTTGCTCGCCCGTCACATTTTGAGCCACTTTGCGCCGGCTCAGTTCTCGTTGTTCGATCATGTCTTGCTTCTTGCGCGTGCTCTCGATCGCGCTCTCCATGTCTTCAATCGCGCGGCTGTTTTCGTCACGGAGGTCTTGCAGCTGCTTGACGAGCTTCTTCTGGGTCGTCTCGGCCGTGCATTTCTCTTGCTAATACAATATTAATCGAAATACGTCCACTCTCCGAGTCGAACCCGCGCCGTCTGCAGCGCCATCGAGCCCGCGGCAAAGTCGTTTTGCAGCGCGTAGAGTTCCTTTTCTTTGATCGTCGTCAGCTTCTTGGACTCTTGCACCTACGTCTGCATTGAGGCATTGGCGAACGAACGCGCTGGCGACCTCGAGCGCAAGGCGTTGTATCATGTGGCTGTACACGCCGCGGTCGGCGAGCTCGTCTTCCAGTTTGTTTTCGATCGACTAAGTCATTCATATACTGAGATACTGGCTACAAAGCAAGCTCGAAAGGGTCGTGACGCACCGACGCACGGTTCTCGAGGTTGATGGCCTTGGTCTGGAAGGCCATGCCATCCATCTTGCGGCTTGAGAGAAGCGAAGATGCTTCCGCGAGCGCTTCTCCGATTTTCTACAGCACCGCCGCATGCGGTGGATGGAGAAGGATATGGCAGCAGCACCTTGATCTCGGCCTCCTTGCGGCTGTTGGCATTGCGGATCAAGTCAAACTCCTACGCAAATACGTGGCACCACGGCGTGCCGACGACGGTCATGGAGCGAACCCGACGGTACGCAGCAACTTCGTTGGCTTCGCGGTCGACCATCTGAAGATCGTCGCCGAGGCCGATGCCCAGCGTGCCAAGGAACGACTGCACCGACGGCGCCGTGACCTTGCTACACAAGTCCAAATTGGATCATATGGCGAGGATCTCTTCTTGCAGCGTACCTCTTGGACGTGCTCTTCTTGGGCGACGCGATGCTCTGGTTGCCGTCGAGCGTGCCCGGCATGAGCCAGCGCTGGCGGCCGCCGTACGTGCCCCGCGTGCGCTCGGTCATCGAGCCATCGGTCGGCGCCTCGACCGACACTCGGACCTCGGGCGACTCGCCGTCCATCTTGGTGCTAGTCGCGTTATAAATACCGGTCGTTCCCAAACTGTTACGAATTGGGTCGTTTGTCGAGCGTATAAAGGCTGCGGCTACCGTCTCCGTAGTTGCTTCTCACGGCTTATCGCCTGCCAGCTGACTCACCGCCTATAGTCCCTTGACGTCGGTTGCATGTGGTGTTGATCTTCGCAAAGTACGTCGACTTCATGACCTGCAAGGACGCTGTCTCGGCCTTGACGCCGTCGCTGTTTGACTTTGGCCCTTTGGCCGCAGTGGGTCGTCACCGCGACTGCATCAGGACAAGGTGGTGTCATTCCTACTGGCAGCTTCGGGCCTCCTGTTGGATGCAGCTGGACACGTCGCGTCGCCTTCTCCCACGTGCATAGGAGGCCACTTGGCGAGGTGCTGACACGCGGTCTATGATGACGACTACGACCTCCTGACTAGAATAAGTTATATTAACGACCATATATGCGCTCTTGCGTCTCTTTCTCTACTACGTTTTTGTTGTATCTTCTAAACTAGATAGCGGCTTCTTAGACGTACGTCTCGTTGAGCGACGAGAAGCCGAGGTTTGAGTTGTTTTCATCGTTGAACCACGACCGGAGGTCCGACGTCGACATCTCCGAGAGGCTGCCGTACCACGATTTCTCATCAAAGAGCTCCGTGTCCCGGATCGTCGAGCAGCCCGCCTCTTCGAGCGAGTACTGGCTCCAGACGTAGAGCAGCTGCGTGCCGTTCGGACCCAAGTCGGCGCGGCTCTCGCGCTTCTTGCAGCGCTTGGCCGTGATCGGCGAGTGCACAACGTGCTCGAGGCCCTTGGGAATGGCTTCGATCAAGAGCGTGCCGGACGCAATGCCCTTGAAGAGGAACTTGCCGTGCGACTTGAAGTAGCACGGCGTTGATGCCGCGCCGCGCGGTGCCGTCTCAAAGTACGACGTCGTGTCTTGCAGAAAGGCCGTCCACGCATCGCCACCAATGAGGATCTGGCCGCCGCGCGACGCCTTGGCGATGCGCGCGGTTTGGTTGACAATGTTGCCAAAGTAGTCGGCGCGGCCACTCGACTTGTGCGGACTCACGCTGACAGGGACCCCGGTCTCGACACCGATCGAGATGCGAAACTGGATGCCGGTCGGGTCCGACTCGAAGAGCGCGTAGACTTGCTTTTGGACTTGGGCGCACCACGCGACAGCGTCGGCCGGACGGTGAAAGGCAAGCATAAAGTCCTACAGTCGGTCATCCATGAGCCGTGGCATGTAGAGATATAGAGTGCGAGACGTACGCCTTGGAGCTCTTGGCACTCGTAGCCGTGAAACTGGCGGAGGAGCTTGCGCGACAAGGTGCAGATCGACTTGACGCGCGAGACGAGGCTGTGCGCGTCGCTGAGCATGAGCGACCGCGCGCCTTCGATAAAGGTAAACACCATGGTCACTTCGCCACCGGCCGCCGGCGCATCGCGCATGCCAGGCGCCAACTGCCGCGGCGACATGAGCGTAAGGAACCGCCGGTCTTCCAAGTGCTTGGGCAGCAGCTGGAAGAGCTGGAGCGGGTACCCGCCCACGAGGTGCTTCCCAAGGTCCTCGACAACCGGGTTGCCCATCTGCACGAGCTGTTCTTTGAGCTTCTCCCATGCGCCGTCCGAGAGCACAATCTGGCCGCCGTGCGCGCACTCGCCAATGAGCCGGACGAGATCCTTCGGGTTGGTCTCCTTCTCATCGCAAAGGTCTTGAAACTCATCTTCGTGGTCGGTCTCGGAGCCGACGAGGTGGATCGCCATGCGCACGCGGAGGCCGCGGAAGACGAGCGTCGGCTTCTCGGGCGAGAGCTCTTCTTGGGCCTCCGGTGCTTTGAGAAACTTGGGGTTCCACGCAGCGTACATGAGGCCGAGCTGCATTGCGAGGCACCACCGCGCTGCGTTGTACTCGGAGTGGAACCCGAGGATGAAGAATTCGTCGTTGAAGCGGAGCTCGATGCCGCCGTACTCGACGAGGCGCGACCGGATCATGTGCACATACAGCGCGGTGGCCTCCTCCATGAGCTCTTGGAACTGCCGCGAGAGCCGCTGAAAGGCCGCGATCGAGACGTACACGAGTACGTTCATCTCATCCGACATGGCGTCGTCCGAGTTGGTCACCGACGTCTGTGCCTGCAAAATCGGGAGCTGAACGTCGGTCGACATGAAGTCGTGCGTGTACGGGTCGGACACGTGCGACGTCGCGTGGTGGCCGGACGAGAGGCGCATGGCGCCGGCGTAGCCCAAGGCGCGGATGTCGGCGGTCTCGCTAAACTCGAGGTACACGTCGGTCATCGAGCGGTGCTCGGGCCGCTGCGTGTAGTCGTAGCCGTTGGTGCCCACTGTGTCGCTGCGCGGCAGCGACCGGTTCGAGCCGCTGCTGCTCTTGACCGCTTGCAGCGACTTTGGGTTGAGGATCGAGCCTTTGCCGCGGCCCGCCGAGACGGCCGCGGACGCAGGATTATCAATGACCTCGCCGTCACGCCGGCGCGTGCGCTGCGAGTGCGGCCCGCTCGAGCCGCCAGCAAGGTCGCGCTCCGAGTTGGTGCGGTGCGTCATGCCCGTGTTGGTGATCGCGCGGCCGTTGGTCCCGTTCTGGCCCGTGTAGCCGCCGTTGGTCGTGTTGAGGTACGGCGCGAGCTCCTGCACAATGTCATTGCGCGGAAGGCAGCGCTTGAGCACGCGTATGCAGCAGTCCCAGCAGCTCATGCGTCGCTGCTGCGGTGGACTTGTCCGATGCGGGAATCCGACTTGGCCGTTCTGCGTCGACTTTAGTGGATGGTCGCGGCGTGCAAATAATCACGCGCATTTTAATGCACCCACCCGGCCGAGCGCGCCAATGTATACAAACATCAAGACAATACAATAAAGTGTGGTTGCAGACGCACGAAACGCGACGTAATAATATGGCCATTAGTCACACGGCGCTGGTCTGGATTTCTCGAGTGCAAACTGGCGAGTTTGCACTTGGCTGTTGTATGCAGCGACTAGGACGGCGTCGATTACTCTACTCTAGTAGCGACTGTTCTAGTAGCGACTGTGTCAAATGGCGCTGGCTCGACCCCATAAAGTTGACGGGCTTCGCCACCGCCGCACAGAGACGCGTGGTGATGGTTAGTTGACATGGTGAGTCATGCAGTATGACACAGACAGGCGGCAAGCCGGTCCTTCGATCCCAATAGCCAAGTCGCTGGCTCTGGTACGCGCATCGAACGCGTGCGATGGCCACGAAAGCGCGTGGCCACCCATTATTAATCTCGCTCCAGAAGACGCCAACAGGCTATATTCCAAGGAACATCAAGACGAAACGGTCTGTACCTGTCTTGGTAGTTGAAGCAGTGATGGACGCGACGCCTCGTGTTACTCGCAGTCGGCGATAGTAGCCGTGTTGTCGAGACTACTTTGTGTCACCACCTTGTCGTGGATCGTTGACTCTGCGCAAATAGACGCCGAACCGACACCCTCACCGCATCGACTCGTGAGATCGTCAGTCGTCAGCCGTTCAATACGATGTCGAAAAGGCGGTTCACGCGACGTCGTTTGTCGTCCTGTATACGCTACGGGGCCGACGAACAAAGGAGCAGCGAAGGAGCTTGTCATGTCATCGGCCTGTTCCAGAACGAAGGAGCGAGCTGGCTGCCGTCGTGGCTGTGGTCACGTTAACGTGACGCCATTTGTGGTACCAAGCCAGTGCTTTTGCAACGCGCCTTGTCTTTGTCGTCACCGCGCATAGTTGAAGCTCAAGTGCCAAAGCGTCGCGCACATGACGCACGCCACGAACAAGATAGAAAGGACGCGTGTCCTCTGAACTACTTTGCCGCCGGAACCACTTGGCGGCTGTGGGTAAGGGGATGCAACGTTGAGAACACTCGAAAAGTCAGCAGCGCAACACTCTCGCACCTCATCGAGAACATTGGCGCGGGACGCCTGAGGGGGCGAACACTGCCTACTCGGTACTGTTCGTTTGGGCAAAACGAAAATGGGTATGGAGGCAAATTTTGCTGCACGGGCCCCGCGAGCACAACGCCGAATATGGAAAAAGTGGCGACGTCACGCGACGTATAAAATTAGCGTGCATCGCGTTACGTCGCCGCTTTTTCCATATTCGACGTAGTGTTCGCGGGGCCCGTGCATCAAGCACGGTTGCGCTCATGAAAGAAAAAAATGCGCGGCGGCGCTCGCGGCGTGAAATTTGCCACCGTATTGTTTTATTTTTTTCGACACGTTATTTTAATTTTTGAATGTTTTTATTCACCAGCCAATAATAAGCACGCATTGTGTGACAGTGATACGAAATAAAAATATTGCATTTTTATTCGAGTGACGGATTAAAAAAACTCTATTTCAATCGGAATTGCGATGGAATCTGGCTTTTAATTCGCCAAACGAAGCGATTTTTAAAGCTGGATATCGTCATGAAACCAGCCCATTTCGCATTGTATTGCATTTCCAATCGACGTATAAAATTCTGGCGATTTTTTATATGGTTTTAGATTTTAATTTTTCCTTTTTCTTGTGAAGCCCATTTTCGTTTTGCCCAAACGAACAGTACCAGCCACGTTGATGCGATTGGCTGCATAGGCCCACTAGTATTGGTACTTTGGATAGCCTGGTCCCTCTGCGTTGCACCATACGCGGCGAACCCGTCGTTTTCACCACAAGACCCCACGTACCCGGTCTCCCAAGATAGCTTATGGGCTTCAGAGTTTCTGGGCTACGACGACTATGTCACCGTCATCTGAAGCAAGCCATAAAAACTGGACCGGACCGTGCGTGCGTACAACAGCTTCTACTCGTCAAGTCGACCTCTCTCCTTGCAAGGTTGATCCATATGCACGGACGTGGTGTAGACCACAGCAACGCTGGGCCAAAAGATATCTACATCTACTACTAGTAGGCCACAAGACGTCTCGTAAGCCGCAAATCTGTGCTGTGCGGGGTCGTTCCCCGTTGCGTTAGCACAACCCGGCACCGCAGGTCTATCTATCTATCTATCTATCTATCTATCTACCGATCTGTATCCAA